ACACCATGAAAAATCCAAACACTGCTGAATGTTTATAGTCCATATTTTGTTTTTTTGCCATTTTAGTCAGAGTTTTAGAAAATAAATGTTTAAAGCCTCTGTAGAGCTGAAGACTTCTGACCCACCTTGACACCTCCATATCATGGTTTGACATTATTTTACCTCTCAGGCCTTGGCTACACTTACCCGGTAGTTCGACGGCTGGAAATCGAACTTCTGGGTTCGACTTATCGCGTCTAGTCTGGACGTGATAAGTCGAACCCGGAAGTGCTCGCCGTCGACTGCGGTACTCCAGCTCGCCGAGAGGAGTACCGCGGAGTCGACGGGGGAGCCTGCCTGCCGAGTGTGGACCAAGGTAAGTTCGAACTAATTCGAACTAAGGTACTTTGAACTTCAGCTACGTTATTCACGTAGCTGAAGTTGCGTACCTTTGTTCGAATTAGGGGGGTAGTGTAGACCAAGCCTCAGTCACTGTTTCAGGCTTTCTGCAGACTCAGGGCCTGTCTCCACAGTGAGGCAATGCACACTAGAGAAATGTGATTTCTAAAATGCACTCATGTGCTGCACGCTTACTGGCCTGCAACAACCCTGCTGGCATACACTAAAAAGTTTCCTAGTGCATGTTAACAAGCAGCATGTACATTAAGCACCCTAGGAAACTTATAGTGTGTGCCAGCAGGATCTACATGGATCAGTCAGTATACTTTAGAAATCACACTCCTCTAGTGTGCGCATTGCTGAACCATGTATACAAGCCCTCAGATGGACATTGGTTTACACTGTTCACATTTCTGAGGTCCTCTTTGCAACCAAAACAGCACAGAAATGTAATTATTTCAACATGAAAATTGAGATTCTGGAGCACAATTCTGTGTCGAGGGATGAATTCTGTGGCAAATCCTGAAACTGTGGAATCAGGGAACATATGGGGCCCTGACCATAAGTCTTTCTGTGAATTTAAATTATCATCTATCCCAAATGGCAGCCAAAGAATCCTGGCACACACATAAAAGACCCATAAAAGGCATAGGAACTGTTAAACTGAGTAGTATCTCAAACAGATTCCTAACCTACAGGCTATTTCAAAAAGTCTTGGTATGAACCAACTAGGTTTTTATCAGGTAGAAGGCAAAAAGCTTATATTTCTCCATCTCTGTTGAATCCATTTAGCTTTTTAAGGCTTTCACAGAAAGCAATTCAGTATCCAGAGTTTCACTGGAGACTCACTAAGTGTGACTGAAGTCTCAATGCAGCTTAAAACAAAAATGATACGCATATTTAAAACAAGGCTGTCCATATATGTAGCATGTAGTGTACAGAGACTCTCAGCATTATATTCTACAAAGTACTGAAAGATTTAATATTAGCAGCCTGTAAAAGTGAGATGAGGAAGTGGACTGAATCTCAGTTGCTTCCTCTTCCCACTTAGTTCCCACCCTTATCAGGGTGAAAAGTTCTAGGAGTCCAACTCTGCTCCTCAGTACTATATTATTCTGTCAAATCTTTACATCTTGTGATTCCACCATCTTGGCAAGTGTCTTCTTGATCCTCAAGGCTGTAAGTCTAGAGGCAGGATTGTGGGCCCAGCATTCAGACATTAACTTCAACACTGCTCTTAAACACTGAAAATTAAAAAACAAAAAGGATAATATTGTAAACAATAATGACTGACAGTTGAAATGGCACAAGTTTTAAGGAGGACACTGGTGAAGCTAGTAGGCCAAAAAGGTTACTTTTTTTTAGTATTCTGTTGATTTATTTACAATATCCTTTGACAATTATTTCCCCTGAATAAAGTAACATTGGTATCTCCAACAATGATTTGATTTAGAAAGTGTGCCTTAGTTACAACACAACAACAAACTGGTGCTCTTTCTTTTGTTTTATAAGAGCTCAGGGATTCTTTTACATTTCAATTTACTGCCTGAATTCAAAAATGGAAGAGGACTATAAAGTTTCAGTGGGTCAGACTAACATCCCATAGCAGAGTAATGAGGTGTCATACTGTGTACCCAATGTTTCTCACCAGAGGGAAGGCTGTCATGACAAAAGGTCTGATTGGGTGACAAGTGAAATGGGAGAAATTAGGGCATGTCCAAAAGAAATGGACAATCTCTGACGGTGGGAAAAGAAATAATATAGCATGCATATAGCTTCTATTTGAAACAGGTAGATCATATTATTTATCTACCAGCCTTAATAATATCCATTTAAAGACCAAATATTCCTGTTTAACCCATAATTACATAGAATGATAAAAAACCCTGCATCTCGTGGGAAAATCTTTATTACACATAATGCTGAATTGACAATAAAATATATGTATTTTCTAATCTTGATCACAGTGTAAGGTAATTCACACCAATTTGGGAGAATGTGTGAAGAGACTAGTAAACATTTGAAGACTGCCAACAGTCTTTGGAACCCTACCTTAAAAGGTTTACTCAATTTCAAGCACACTGAAAATAAATGCAAAATTTTGAACACAAATTTTTGTGCCTCTTAAACAGCAAATTAATGTAACAGGGATGGCCAAACTGCACCTTGTGAGACGCATGCGGCTCTTTTACAGTTAAAGTGTGGCTGAAGGAGCTCACCAAAATTGGAGGGTGTGTGTGTTCTGCACTGCAGCACAGTGGTGGGGCTAGGGGCTTCTGCCAGAAACGACTGGTGCCTGCTGAGAGTGGGGGGGG